CACGCAAACAGGAGAATTTAGTCATGGCAGTCAGACAATTTCAGACGGGCAAGGTTCATAGCAGCATTCACCAACTTAAATAAGGAGACCTCCAGGAGAGATGTAAGAGATTCCAAAGTCGTCTGGTCGAAGCCAATGGCGATTTCACTGAATAAATTTAATCCTTAGTATCTGAAGATATTTTTGTGTAATTTTAGTAAATATATTTGTTAAAATGAGATGTCAGCGTTATTTTCATTTTTTGCGTAATTTAGACGACAATTTACCCATCGCACCCTATATATATATATATATATATATATATATATATATATATGTGTGTATGTATGTATGTATGTATGCATACACACACACACACACACATATATATATATACAAAAATAATCACTCATAGAATCAATCAGCAATATTGCTGATTGATTCTATACGTGATTATTTCTTTATATATAAATTATATGCTGCCTAATGTTTTATGTTTATATATATATATATATATATATATATATATATATATATATATATATATATATATATATATATATAAAATATAGAAATGCTTTTCAAAAAGACGCATGAGAAATGCTTAGATAATAAATCCAACCAAAACATATATATATATATATATATATATATATATATATTCATGAATCATTCATACAAAAAACAAATATAGAGGTTAATGATTTAAATGGCGAGAATACATCTTTTGTTTTTTGTATGAATGATTCATGAATTTATAAATTATAATTGCACCTTTAATTGAAATTAATATATATATATGTATAGGGGTCGATAGGTTCATCTATCATTCGGTTCAAACTCCTCTTAAGTCTTTTGAACAGGAGTAGAGGTTTATCCATTGATTCCTGTTTAGGATTGATTTTCTGGTTTCTTCTAATATCTTTTCCTTCTCTCTCACTTCCAGTAGCATCTTGAAGTTTCGTGGTATTATCGCTTTGCTAAGTTTGAATTAATAAAAAAAAAATCAGTCGAAGCCACTTTAATGCAGAAAACTCATTGCTGTGTTCCATGAACCAATCTGCTACTATTTTTTATTTGTGACACTGCATTTTCCTGCTGGAAGTGACCTCCAGAGGATTGGTGCACTGTAAATATTTTAAGTTCTGTACATAACTCATAAATAGATGTCAATTATTTTAAATTACAAAAGTAAACTGATTCTAGAGTGATAAAACAAAAATCTTTGACTAAGTTTAAGAGGCCATACTAATTCTATGTAGAATTACATTTCCTTGTCAGTTATTATTTTTAACAAGAACATTTTTTGTAAAGTAATCTGATTTTATATTTCATTTTCAGGATATCGACATGTATCATGAAGCAACTGATACTCCAGCAATGGCAAGAACTTCTAATCTGAATGAAGAATTAGGACAAGTGAGTATAGCTGAAATTTAAGTTTCTCTTTAGTTTTTTTCTCTTGCCCACTTTTGTCTAACTTGGTATACTCACAGGTCACTTTATTAGGTGTACTATTCCGCTTTTGCTTTAGATCAGCCTCATTTCTTCTTGACATAAATTCAACAATGTTGTGGAAGCTTTCTTTTGAATGTTGGGTCCATGCCGTTGTTATGGCATCTGGTATTCCTCCACATTGGTCAGCTCAGTCAGTTATGTGCCACACTTAAGCAATCATGTATCTTTCAATACATGACTGACAAGGCAGATTTTTTCCTACAGTAGGTTGCCATTTCTTTCTACAGTAGACCAGTTGCCATCCAAGGCTATAGAACCCAGTCTGTCTTGCTATTTATCCATAGCTGGGGGGAGAAGAGGATTCATACCTTTCCCAAGGGTAGTAGCACATAAGTGAATGTCATGAATTTGACTGGAATTCAAACTCTGCTCTCTGATTACTCAATCCGATCCTCTATCCATTATTCCACCATGCCTCTTTTGCTACACATCCAAAATCCAAATGTCCCTTTCCACCACATTCCAAAGGTGCTCTATAGGATAACGATCTGCTGTTATTTGTCATTTGTAACATTGAATTTTCTTATCGTGTATCATGAAACAACTGATACTCCAGCAATGGCAAGACGCAGACACGGAAAAAGAAATGAGAAAACCTCCTACAGAAGGTAGTGAAGGAGAGCGAGAAGAAAGGACTAAGCATAAACTCCAAGAAGACAAAATACATGGCCATCTTTAATAGGATGAGCCCGAAATGCGATTTACAGGTCGGGGAACACTAGAATTAAGCAGCTGTGGAAATTTAGATATCTGGGAAGTGTTTTGGCAGAGGTCGGTAAGTGCGACGTTGAAATCCGAAAACATATTGCAAATCATTCAAACGCTCTCTTTCAACATGCCTTGAGCCAGCATGGAAGAGTAGACTCATAAAATTCACATGAATAATATTTCATGTCTATATATTTCTTACTGTAAATTATGGCCATATCATTTGAAAGCCACCGCAGAAATCGACACCCAGAAGATCCTGAAAATTATTTCCAACATTTTTAACTCGAGGGCT